ACAGAAGGAAGGACGAATCAATATTGATAAGATATTACTTTATTTCGAAATCTGAAAATTATCGACGTGAAATTTCAAGTTTTCAACAGTAGGGACACCTGCGTTTTATAGGCATCTTCATCATTCTTTTGAAGTAATCAAATATCTGATGTCACTTCTGTCAGTCTGATTTTGTGATTTTATTTCAAGAAATTGCGAATTCAGTGGTTATTCAGCAATGTACGTAACAGCGAAGTCGAATGGATGATAAAAGGACTTGCAGTTCTTTCTCGGAGACGGTATTATTGACTCATTTTTCGGAACTACAGCACAACAAAAGCCATCAAAAGTGTATATATATGTGATATATATCCGGGAAAGAAGTACTCACTTTTTTCCCACGGGAAAAAAGTAATTTATGAAAAGTGACATTTTATAACCTGCCAACAGGGATGAAATGCCAAACTTTTTTCCCGTCACAGAAAAAACTGTTTTTTTGATGGATTATGGATCTGCAAAATTACCCTTTCGATGTTCAACAGGTTCTATGCGATATTGTCTCGACATAACACTTTACTGTTTCTATGAAATACGGTTAAGACGGATTATCGATCCTAAAGAATAGCGTTTGTTTCTTTATGAAGTACATTTCTTTGTTTCACTGTATGATGAGATACATAATGATCCTTTATGTTGTAATGATTTATGAATGCCATTGTGATAGAATCCATTTTGATGAAATACGGTTCTGTTACAATACAAAATATATGTACCTAGTTTTTCCAACGTTAACATTATTATGAGAATTAACTACATGAATGTACAGGGTGAATCAACTATGATTCCCGCCCTGTAAAACCAATTTGGCCAAAACACATTTTTTTAGAGTTATACTTTTGTTCCTTTCGTTCAGTTCTTCATATTAACACTCTGAGAATCATTGAGAAAAGTTCCACCAAGTTGATAATGTAATGGTATATGTGGAATGCCTACTGGTTCAGTCCTGAATAGTAGAAAAAGACAATTTGCCCCAAAAATGTCACTGATGCGCTTAAATTTCACTATCAGGAACCTAAGAGGAATATTCAATCGAAAGTCATGATACATTGTTTTAGAGAGAAGAAAATAATATAGGTGTAAGTATATTAGAAAATATAAAATTTCACTTAACTTTGGACGTATCAGGAACGAATTTGACTCTGTTTTCAATATATTTATCAGAAATAACCTTTCTTGAGAAAATCACGTGAGATCAATTGCTAAAAATGCATCCCAAAAACTTGGTTTTCTGTTTCGAGCCAGTCAGCTGCTTATGATCTATAAGGCACAGATCCAACCTGTCCTGGAATACTTTTCCCATATTTGGAGTGCAGCACCCAAACATACCCTAAAACTGTTGGATTCTGTCCAAAAAACGGCAATTCGTCTCGTGGGTGATGCCTCGCTCACAAACTCACTCACTTCTCTGGAACACCGTAGAAAAGTTGGCGATCTGGCTCTATTTTATAGATTCATGGACGATATGCTCTTCTGAAATATCAACAATTGTTTTTCCTTTGGCAGTCCCCGCGACATTAACCCGTCGAGTTGAGGCTTCGCACCCCTTCGTGGTCACTTTGAAGACCTGCAGAACATCTCTTTGCAAAGACTCGTTCATCCAACGAACAGCGAGGCTCTGGAACACATCGCCAAGGGAGGTGTTTCCCAAGGCATATAACCTCCATAAATTCCAGAGGAACACCAATTCCTACTTATTTCCCTTGGTTCATACGATGTTCTCTGAACATTACTGGGTATCCCTTTTCGTGGGCACCAGAAAATGAGAGAAATTAGAAAATCTTTTATTTTTCATTTTTTGATACATCTCAGTGACCATTGATTCCTTTGTTACTCGAAAATTTATGGAATATTTTGCAGGGTTTACGCTTATTCGATAAACAGTTATATAGCCATGAAATAAAAATGAAAAAAATACTTACTTATACATTAATAGACGCTGAAAAAATGCTTAGAGTGCCAGCAGCGACTAATAAGGCCGAGAATACGTACAGGTGCAAAAGCTGCTTAGAATCAGAACTTGCAACTGCCATTTTCGGCTAAATGATTTTATCGCGACTCATCAGGTCCATTAATCAATTAAATAATGTCAACAAAGCAGTTTTTTCTTGAAATCGAAGACGTGAAGGTCTCCAGCAATCATATTATTTGTTGTAGATGACGAACAAAAAAGACTGATGGCATCACAAATGAGTTCAATTACAAATTGGCAAGGTTGTACTCAAGCTGGTTATTTGCAATGGATGAGAAAACATGTTGAATAGAAACAAAGTCGCATAATCAAGTTCCAAAAGATATACTATTGATAGAAAGAAAATACATGAAACTATATACAAGGTGTTTTTGAAATAAGTGCACATATTCAGCACATCAATATGATACAGTCTAAGGAATATTCCCATGATATCAGATTATTTCTCATTCTTCTAATAAACGAGAAATTTCATCCCAAAAATTGAACAAAATACGAGAAGAAAATCAAGTACGCATCTTCAAAACAATTTAAATGATTGAACTTCGCGTGGTTGTGCCTACCGCATGGAAATTTTAACAGAGGTGACGTCAGAGTTGCTACTGTGTAGAACTTTGGGATAAAAAAGGTGTCCAACCTCAAATTTTATTTTTATCCCTGCATTTTTTTATTAGTGCCATTCGATAGTACACGTCGAGCTTTCTCAATGTTTAAAATATTTGCACTTATTTCACTGCCCCCCTGTATACTCATTAGTAGTTTGTACGATACTTTTTTCACTAGAAGATGGTAGTTGGTGATCTCATATTTCGTGGTCTCGTTGAATCAGGTGAAGAGACAATTTAATCTGGTTGATGTATCATACAGGATGATTGGAAAATGTATGTCAAGATTACATCTTACAGTCTAGATTAAATTTCTGGCATCGAAGTGAAAATATTCAAAGAGGAATCCAACATCAACTTCTAGAAGATTGCGCACTTATGTCCAAAATATTCAAGTTAATTATATACAGGGTGATCCTCGTTGGATGGCCTATTAGAAGTATCTGGAGAACGAGAAGACACAACATTCTGAAAATTGGGATGCTTTGATAATTGAACATTCTCTATTGTCTGAAATATTTTCATCGATACAGTGTTGCCACTTCTATCAGGAACAACTGACAACTTCGTTATTTTTAATAGAGCACCCTGTATTTTATAGCATTTTTAGATTCTTCCTGAAGAGTTGATTCCACCAATGTAACACACTTGGTGTCTGGCAGGAATGATTACAGAGATATCGTGTGTTCAAAATCGAGATTTTTCAATTTTAGGATTTTTTTGTGTCGAAACTATTCATTATCTACTGACATTTAATTGAAACAGATACACGGTGATCAGAATTCTGAATCTTGAAACACCCTGTATTTTTTCTAATAAAATTCCTTAGACGGATAGAGAATGTTAAACTATCAGAGCATCCCAATTTTGTGCCTGTAATAGCGAATGAATAGGTTATATAATTTGATCACATTGAGAATTCTTGCAGTGGCGCCGTTATGATAAGTTTTATCCTAAAACGATTCTCCAACGATTGTAATTCTCCAAATGTTATTGGAAGATTTAATAAAATATAGTGCTTTCCAAAAAAGGTGATCTTATCAAAAAAAAAACACAAAATTTTGATATCAGGGCCTAAGGTAGATTCTTCAAGTTTCCTATCGTTCTTCTGACTAAAAATATATAATAGCATTACTTCCTGTTCAGTTGATATAGTTAGATAGAACATGATATTCACTTTGAAAATGCAATTATGGGAAAGGCAAATTCGAGATCAGTTATTAAAACACTCTGTATATAACTCACAAATAACCCTGACACCTTCTTCCACTGAGGAGTGTTGAAAGACGAAAATAAGTAGATTCATCTCAAGAATTATTTTCCATTTTTATGATAGATCGAGAGCAGATACGTTCTCAAAACGTCTAAAGATACCTAAGTGAAACTTTATATTTTGTCAATACAACTATAGTCTCCTTCTTCAAACACTTTTCAAGCAATGTGTCACTGGTTATCGATTGAATTCCTCTTCCAGGTAAATTCGAACGCAGTGACATTATGGTGCAAATCATATCATTCGTCCTTCTCACAAGGATATCGAAATGATACAGATATTTTTGAACATAGAGACGAGGAGAGAATCCCAAAAATTCAGAGAAGTCATAGAAGGTATTTATAAGAAATGTTCAAAAACCTATCGACAGGGTGTTCCTTATAATGATATGCTGATATTCAGGGGGCCGATTATTCGATTTCAAGAATTGAACTTTATGTGAACGAATCTCGTAAAGTCTTAACTTTTGTCAATGTTGAAAATATGCATAGATACTTTTTTGTCTACCCTGTATCTTTTCCTTATGGCAAAATTCAGTCCGCTATGTGACTTAATCGGTAACGAAATTTCAAAATGTTACGTACTGTGGTTATCCAAAAATTTGAAGTCTGTTCTGGTTCTATCGAGTATCAACAAAAATTTTTTTTTGTACATAATTGAATAGTATTTCATAGCATTGAACGAGATTAGAAAATTGTCCGTCGTCGCTCACTTTTAAGTAAAATATTAACAATAATATTCGCGTAACGGAAAATTTGTGTACACCATAAATTGTACCTTGATGCATAAAAGACGTGTACCGAATTTCATGAAGATGTATACAATATTGTCTCAGTTATTATCAGGAAACTGAATATTTTTTAAAACTTCATCACCCTGTATCTCATAGTTATCAGTAAGTAAGTCATACGTTCATATAAAATTGTATTCTTGAAATGAGTCAAAGAATCGTCACCTCAAATATTAGCATGTCTTCAAGGAAAACCCTGTATGTTTTGATTTTAATTATACCTTCATTGATGAATCACCCTTTAGATACATGAAATAGGTCTCACATGTTTCATTATACTGATCGATAGGAATATTCACCAATCGATAACTGACGAAAACTTACCCTTCTCTAAGGTTCCATTAATTAACCAAAAGTCCAACAAAAAATCACGAAAACAATATCCTCGAAACAAAATTGCGCACGTGAATCCTTCGTCAAAGTACCGCTCGCGCCTCGGCTCACCACGGTTTTGACAGCGGTGGTACTACTACTGGTACTGCCAAAGTTTGTCGGTCGACATGCTTTCAATGAAACGCTGAACGTACCCCCACTATCACCACCATCGACGGTTCCTCACAAGGTACCTACTCAACGTGGTACTACCACAGGTACTACCATGACTGCAGATGCGTACCTGTGGTGGTACTAATTGTTATGTCGAAAAGTTGAAGGATGATGCCGCCAGGCAAGAGGATTCACGGGAGATAGCTATGATGCGTTAGCCCAGAAACCCATTTGTGATCTGAGTTGTCACTAAAAACTATTTAAAAATGCCATCCGTCCTCAAGACAGTATATCTATGATAGTGCTAGTTACTTTTCTTAAGAATAAAATATTGACAAAAAAAGTTTACACATAAGGCGATTTCGAAATTCAATGACCAGATGATATCAAAAACAGCCCGAATATTATACAATTCAATGATAAATTGAAGAAATATATTTATATGGAAAGGATTGATCAAAGCTGTGAAAGAGTATAAAATTCCTTTTTTTTTCACTTTTTTTTTTCCTTTTTGTGCACTATAATATGACTGTTATTTTGAGATATCTCAATGATATGTAAGTTTTGTTCACTATTTGTAATTTCAATTATACAACAGTCGACTTCTTCATACTTCATGAATGATCTTATACCAGGAATTACTGTCTGACCATTCATGTCATTCCTACTAGAAAGTTAATTATACTGTATATATTATTTGTATAAAATGTATCAATGAAGAAAAGAATGTAATGCAATAACTGAAATAAAAAAAAAAAAAAATAAAACTACTCATTTTTTATCACTTGGGCATGGAGAAATTGTTTTTTTCTGTAAAATGGGCAATTCATCAGCTTTCATTGGAAACTAAGATTCACGCTAACATTCTCAAACATGAATCTACGATTTGGTCGCCGAAATTTCATTGGAATCGGGCGAAAAATGAAAAAGTTACAGGGCGATAAATTTTTTCTGTATGTTTTTTTTTTGCTGTAGATGTAGATTGTATAGAAATTGAATTGGTGTGATTACCTTCTAAGAAGATCAGAAATCTTTCAATTTCGCCTTTTTTGTAAAAATGGTGACGCATGGAAGGACTTTGCAAAATGTCCATAATATCAATCCAAAGTTACCGGCATGGCATCTGGAAGGATATGTTTGATGTTGAATTATGTTTAAATTTTCATTGTTATATATTTTTTGGAAATTTTCTACCCTTAATGGTGATTTCATGCGTAACTTGATTCCTAACTCAAGAATACTACTGTGTGATATTCATGTACATTTTGCAACAACGCCAATTTATGATTAAAGTGCAATATACAATTATTCAACTAACATAATAAATACCTATCTGTACCTACCTAATGGATCACTTATGTTCTCTAAACACCAAAAATATTAATCAATACCATTGACAATAATTCACAATATAACAATTTGAAATTTGGCCAGATATAAAAATAATAAGGAGACGTGACATTCGGGACAGATGCCTAGTCGGAATGTCATCGAATTATATATTTTTTAATGAAAGTTGCTGAACTTCAACGTCATGTATCATTGAATATGAGATCCAGTATTCAATTGATTATATCGGGAGTTATTAGTTTGACAAACAATTGAAGAATGGGCTCACCAACAATAATGAGCAAGCATCTCAATTCAAATTGAATGAACTGAGTATATAATGAACTGAGTAGATAAAGTGGTGTACCATTGATTTCATACTCACTGATTACTTACTTCAAGATATGAGCAATCCGTTAGCAGGCGTTTTATTAGTTCGTTTCCAGCAAAAACAATAATTTTTCAGGGTAAATACACTGGTGCACCAGTGCACCAATTTTTTACCAAAAGCGAATTGCATTGCCTGAAAACTTGCATTGACTGTTTTTCACCTCTAGCAATATATTTCAATCATTATAGTTCTGTGAAACTGAAATATGGAGCTAACTATGGAAGCACTTCTTTTAAATTCTAATAAAAATCTACTAGTCATGACCATGATAACATAAATATGACAAATCGTTATTGATAAACAGGTTCGAGTGCTATTCCTGCGAATCTCAGATCAGGACAGTGAATTCTGGTAAATTACAACGAGGTGGCTATGTCTTTATTGACTAGTGCTTCATAAAATGACGCATACTACCTTGGTAGTAAAAACACACTTTACACCTCTAAAAGAAGTAAATAACGGTGGGTTCATAGCTAGTGGTGGAAAAATATGTTCAAATAAAAAAAATTGTTGGCTGAATTCTATAGCGTTTACTCATAAACGAGCATTCAGTTTTATACGATCAGTATATGGGAACTGCCTTACTGCAGACAAATATTGATAGAACGCAGAGGTAGGTACCGTTTTTGCAAAAAAACTGAAATAAAAGCGATTTAATTCGATATTTTGGTGAAAGGGTTGGTCTCAGTCGCCAAAAGTTGAAAAAAACCCACTATCTTTCATTATCCTTGCTAGGTCCTAACACGATGTTCTACAAACATAGTAGAGATTCTTTTTCGTTGGCTACAAGAGATGAAAAGAATATCGCATTATTTCATTTCCATGAAAGACCTGTTTGTGAGAGATATAATTCCCATATCACTGATACGAATGATTTTTTTGGAAGTTCCACACCGATTGAAAGATGTTGATCGTAATGGAACAAATCTAAAAGGCATCTCAAGAAGCTGAAAGCCAATTATTACTGAGACAATCTGGAGAACAATATAAAAACAGTTATCTGAGTTTATCAAATGATGAAAAGGTACTGCTAGCATTTTCGTTGGAAAAGTAAAGAAGCTCAAAGCATCGTCATTGTGGAGCGTATATTCAATGATAAAAGCCACTATTGTTATAGACATTTTGGAAATACGTCTCTAAATTTAAATTTTATTGCAGAGCAATTTGATTTAAATCCCAAAGTTCCACTTATTTTTCCGAAAATAGGGAATAAAGGAACCCTTAAATCCCTGAAGTGCATAAAAATATCATATTGTTTAACGAGTAGGAAATTTGCATACTTTACAAGTTATACGCTATAATTTTTCTACGGCTATAATAGATAACAGCGGCATTTTTGATTTCTTCGTCTTGCAGCCATCTGTATTAGACAGAGCTGTCATTGCTTCCCATTTGACATTTCTTTTGAAATAATAACACAATGGAGTCATTGTGATATCACGATATCAGAAACGTAATAGTTATTTGTTTAACTAGGCAGCAAAGTAGTAGATTGACTTAGCTGGATTCCTAGCCTCGCTACGCTCGGCTATGAATTCAGCCTCGGCAGTCAATCTACTTTGCTGCCGAGTTGAACATATAATTTTTTCTCCGATTGTTCATAATGATATACCGGGTGTCCCAGTATACCTGTTCCAATGGATTATCTCAGTCATTTCGAAAGTAACAAATTTGAAAATTACATGATCTCCAATTCGTTCAAGGAACCTTCAACTGAGAAAAATGAAAATTGAAAGTCACTTCCGGTTTGACCGGAAATGACTCTAACTTCTTCATTTCAAATAGCACCCTGTATATTTTTTGCAATTTTTGCTTTTTACTCAAACTTACCTTTCCAACGGTGTATCACACTTTGCATTTTACAATTGATTTGATAGAGAAAACGAAAATTGAAATTTGAAATCGAAAGAATTGCAGTAGACTACGATATTTTGTGTACATAATGATTTTTTCCTCAATAATTGATGATTCATGAACAATTTTGCATTCGAGATGATGAAGAGAACGTCAAATTTCAAATTATTATAGAAATATGTAGTAGAACTGGAAGAATTAATAATTATTAAATGAAAACCTTAGTGTGCCATGGAAACATTTGAATATATTTGTTAGTATATTTGACAGGTAATAATTCTCCATGGTTGCGTGCGACATTCAAGAATGAATAACCGTGAAAATGATATGATAACTTCACAATTCAAGAGAAATTGGATATGATACTGATTTTAATTCTAAATTTCAATTTGTCGTTTTCTTCATCATATCAAATGTAAAATACAAAGTGTGATACACCGTTGGAAAGGCAATTTTGAGTAGGAAGCAAAAATTGCAAAAAATATAGAGGGTGCTATTTGAAATAAAGAAGTTCCTTGAACGAATTGGAGATCATGAAATTCTCAAATTTGTTACTTTCGAAATGACTGAGATAATCCATTGTCCATTGGAACAGGTATACTGGGACACCCGGTATATCTCTTCATTTTTCCTGTAGTGTTCCATTAAAATAAAATTTGATAGAAATCACAGTTGTTGGAATGGTTGGTTGCTATGGAAATGTCCATAATAATTATAGTTTGACAATTCATGAAATTTCTCACAATTGTGCGAAAAAATATCGGTATATCTAAATTATTATATAATGGACAATGATAGCGACCTGGAAGTACTTACACTTCCAGAAATGAGGGAGGTAGCAAAAAATATAGTTGAATTTGTTGCCGGAGAAGTCTCGGATGAAATATGAAGGAATTTATAAACGACTTATGGATTATTAATTTTGCTGATACATATCAATCAGCAAAGTAACCACTTTGCTGGCAAAGTACCCACTTTGCTGCCTAGGCAGGAAAAGTAATACTTTGCTGATTGATATGTGTCAGCAAAATCAATATTTGCTGCCAATCGGAGAAAAATAATATTGATGACACACAAAGTACCTCATTGACGTATCGAACACAGTAAAACGAGAGTAATTTTGTGTTATAGCCGTAGAAAAAAATATGTTCTTCGTTCGTTAAGATGGACATGGACTTGACAAATAATCCATCGCCGTGCGGACAGCCTACTATGAGTAAAAAGGCCACTCTCTAGATAAAGTAAAGTAAATCAAGAATCTGGAATAACCGCACTAAGGCCGAGTCTTCTATGCTGAGAATCATCGAGCTCGGTGTTCATCATATGCTGTGACATAAATAGTTGTTTGATTAATGGAATGCTCAGATATGCAATCAGACGAGGAAAAAATTGTTCGTTCATTAGCATTT